TTGAAGAGAGTTCATTCCCCTAGAAGATGGTTTGGAAATGTAAAATGCCTCCATGAGTAGCATTTTTACAATGGACGGTGGTCAGAGGACAAGTGTTAACGGTGGATAACCTTCGCATTACGGGTTTTTATGTTACCGAGTGGTGTTATATGTGTAAGGGGGATGGGGAGACGATTGATCATTTATTTCTCCATTGTGATGTTGCTCGTTTCCTGTAGAACGATATCTTGGTGTTGCAGCATATGGATTGGGTGATGTCGAGGCGTATGGAGGACATGTTAAGGACATGATGGAGAAAGTTTCGAGATAAGGATGGCAAACTTGTTTGGGACCTTACTCCGGAATGCATTGTTTGGTGTGTATGGAGAGAGAATTGAGAGTTGTTTTACTTGACATTGTACACTTGGTTTAATGATGTGGCTTCTAAGCATATAGATGGACTGCCTAATTTCATATTGTTCCTTTTTTATTTGTATTGATGATACACATCCTGTGTATTGAGTTTTGATTAATAAAATATTTGATTACTTTTCCAAAAAAAAAAAAGTACAACCGTTCAAAGAAATTTAACACAACATAGCCCATCCTCTAATTCAAAACATTTCTCTTGCAAAATTCAAAATCAAAGACAAATAATATTAAGCCCTTGTTTGATCCCAATTTTTCTAAAATACATTTTTCTCTCTTCTTTTCAACCACACATTCCTTATTTTTTAACCGCACAATTTTCATCAATCTACTATTCAAAAATGCATTCTTTGCCAAATAATGAGGCTCAAACAAGGGCTAAATTTACTGAAAAAATTAAAGGAGTATAAAAGAATATAATATATTAATCTATAAATTTAAGAATTTTTGTGACATGTCCCTAAAATGTCTGTAACCTACTTTTTTGAATAGTTACATGAAGGCGTGCTTGTGTCCATGTCTGCTTTTGGTGTTCATATATGTGATTCATAAGAAATAGCATTGTTCTTCAATGCACAGGCTATAGAAGTGTTGACTTTCTACCCAAAAGTAAAAATATTCAACACACACAATCAAAATAACAGCAGAAAAATAAAAGACTATCGTGAAGAGCTAATATTATATATGGTGGAAAACAAATTACCTATTTTATTCAAAACAATGGTATCTCGATAAATATAAAAGAAAAACAAATAATTATAGATGATGCATATGTATATCAGGATAAATAGAAGTTAAAAGATGTTTATTTACATAGATATCCAGTAATTATTATATTAGGCATATGCATTGTACTAATAGAGAGGACAGGACTACCTTAGGGATCAGTAAGAAACCAGCAGACTAAGCTTCCAATTTTAAGATGTGCCACCGCATAATCAAAATAAATAGAGTTCAGAAAGGAAGCACTAGGATCGTACTCTGCAATATAAAAAGGTTATGGAATTCATGACTCCCATATGGTTTTCAGATATTTTTCTTACTTCGGATACTTGTGTTCTTTCCTTAGCTGTTTGAAGTCAGTTCCTATAGTTCGTTCAAAGGTTATGTACATCTAAGATCAACAAACACATGCTTCACACAATTTTTTTTCCCCTTGTTCAATAAGAATCATGAATTTATTGAAAATAACAGAAAAGCTAAGGACATGGCCTCCGTCACTAAAATGTAAAAAGAAAACTATCAATATAATGCATCTAAAAACCAAGAAGAACTGACAAAAAAAGAAAAAATCTTTAAATTCCTCAAAGGTAGAAGTACATAAAGAAGCTATTACCTTTGCCATTTTCCATAAATGTAACATTCTTGTTCATTCTCTTTAAAAATTTATGCTATTCCTTTTCATCCATAAGACACAAAAAATTGCCAAAACAACATTCTTCCACATCAAATCTCCTTTTTTTTTTTAAAAAAAGTAATCAAATATTTTATTAATCAAAACTCAATACACAGGATGTATATCATCAATACAAATCAGAAAGGAACAATATGAAATTAGGCAGCCCATCTATATGCCTAGAAGCCACAGCATTAGACCAAGTGTACAATTTCAAGTAAAACTGTTCTGATGTCCGTGTTTGGTCTTCAAAACAGCGTTCATTTCTTTCTCTCCACATACACCAAACAATGCATCCCGGAATAAGATCCCAAACAAGTTTAATATCCTTATCTTGAAACTTTCTCCTTGTAGAAAAACAGGTTTGGCATAAATCGGGAGTAGAAGTTAAGTTCCTTCTTCCCCTCTAATTTCA